GTGTCTTTGGTCCCTTCAGCATTCTCACTCAGCCTGAGACAGTCTCATTATCATTTATGCAGCATGAGCCATAATTTGAATTGAATCCACTGTTTAACATGGAGCATTTCCCCTTTTACAATAAAAGCACTTGCTTTCATTTTGTTCATCAATGTATCATGCAGCTAATTCTTCCCTGCTTATTATATCCTGGGCTTGCATGTCATGGACTCAAGGGATTTAGGAATTATGTCATGGATATGAAAACAATGAGAGCTATGACTGACATTATGCATTTGAATGTCTCTCACACTTGTGTGATCTGAGGGTTGCTTGTTTTTTATTTCTGCTTTGTGCTGGTGTACCTTGTAAATTGCCTCTCTGTGTAACCCACTGTCTCTCTTCCCTTCCCCAGGTTTGATAAAGCAACATAACATGGTGAGGAAGATAAGCAGCAAGTTAAAGAAGGCCTGCAGGGAGAAGCAGGTTACCCAGGAGACTGGATACAGAGATTTTTGTGACTAGAAGACTGCTCCAGGTGAGTTCAGCTCACTGCAACCAATACCCAGCAATTAGCTGTTTTATGCAAAATCTGTTGTTTTTAAAAATCTATTGGTTTGCCTTGTGCAGACTGAGTAAAAGCCTAATACACAACTGGATACCCTCCTGATAGCATAAAAGTGAGGCTAATAAGGCAGAAATGCTTTCCTTTGCATTTTCAGGACACTGTACCCTTGGTGTACAGATAAGGTAAGATGATAGCAATTCCACAGGGTTAATTCCATTGAGTTAATACAATTGCTCCTGCTGTCCTTATCTGGCCCTTGGAGGTGGAGACAAGCTCACCCCTCACAGTTCTGCCCTTCTTCCCCTCTCTAGGGGTTTAGTCTGGAGACCACTAAAGGCTGCAGCTGACATCAGCATCTCTGAGTTTTGCCCCTGGCTATGGAGTTGAGAGCAGTGAAGGCACCACCTCAGCACAAATACATATATATTAGCCACAAAGCCTTTCTGAATAAGTAGTGAGGAAGGGCATATAGAAGTTGCCTGGCTCTACAAACTCCCTTTTAAATCCCAGTGGGAAATCAGCAAACAAAATCATTATCTGGATTGGAGGGGAAACTGAAGGCATTTTGTAATGCTGGTGGAAAGCCTTCTCCTGCAATTGCACTGCAAAACAGACTATGGCAAGGTGATTTGGGGAGTGGAGAGGCCACATTAATGTGGTGTCTTGACAAATGCACTTGGAAGTCCTTCCTGATCTCAGCAGCAACGAGCTGCTCCTCTGATTTTCTAAAATCTAACTAAAGCTCTGAGATATAATTAAGAGACCACTCTTGAAGGTTCACTGGCACTCCAGAAAATGAACTGACACACCAGAAGTGGTTTTACGAAGTACATATGCTCACTCAGAACATTCCAAGAAAACAACAGCCCTCGGGTTTTTTTCTGATAAAAAATATGAAAGAAATGTTTTTTCCAGGCTTCATGTAGCAGAGAATGACTGGCATGGATGTGAACAATTTGGTATAGCATGGGTTTCAAATTGAAGCACTTTCACACACTGTGGACTTACAATGGGTTAATTACTGGGGGAGGGAGGGAAGAGGGAGAGTTTCAATAAAACACCTTCAAGCGAAAATGAATGCAGACTATTACAGACCTGAGACAGAACGATTCCCAAGTGTTTTAATTTGTGCTTCCACTCCTTGCCTCTCTTGCAGTCATAATTTCGGCAACTACCAGCAACATCCCTGAGATTCAACAGCATTTGCAGAGCAGGCAGCTGCTGAAATGATTATGTCAAATCAGCATGCTGTTCTCTCTTTTCCATGTTTAATGATTCTCACCCTTGGAGAAGCAGTTTAAGGTGATGCATAACCCTTGGACTCTCAGAGGATACTAACAGCAGTAGCTGTAGAACAGGACTTTGGGTGGGACTTTGTCACTCATCTTTCTTGCGTGCATTCTCTCTGATTAACTTTAGTAATTATTGCACAGAGTCCTGCTATGGCTGGTTTGGGCCTGGTCCAAAGTCCTTTCAAGACAATAGACAATCTTGCAAGAGCTCTGACTTAAATTCTCTGGGGACAGCAGAGAAGCTGAGCTTGTGTGAATTGTTAATTTGGGTTTCTTAAACAATCAGTTGAGAAGAACATATAAATCAAGTCTTGCTTGACATTTTTAGCTCTCTCTTGTTCAGACCTAATGCCCCCAAAGGCAAAACTTACTGACAGCATTGTGACTATAAGATGCTGGGAAGAAAGGGGAAAGCTGCTAAAAGTTACCCATGATGGGGATGCTCTGCAGCTGCTGTCATGCCTTTGAGACAGCACAGAGTGGCACTAAGAAGCTCTGCTGTGCTCACAAGTGGGTTGGGCTTGGACAAATGTTGCCCTGGGGTTTTACATCACAGGCTGCTCTTGCATTCCACACCTTTGCACGTTATTTACACAACAGCTTTCCTTTGCACTGCAGTTGTGAAGTCAGTAGTTGTTCTGGCTGACCCATAATTCAGACTGATTCTTTTCACACTGCTGTGGCCATGCAGCATGTGCCTGTATCACTGCTCACCCTTCCTGCTCCACCTCTGTGACACCACAGCTTGACTCAGCAGGAATGACACCTGGTCACAGGCTCTCTTTCTGAAACTCCAATGTGAAGAATCAATCCTGTAATCTGTAAATTATATCAGTAAACTTGACTGATAATAGTTAACTGAATTTTCACTGACCTGAACTAATCCCACCAATTAAGAATAATGCTTTCTTTATATTCATAGTTAATAGCAGACTGAAGGCTGAAAAAGCAAGAACTGAAGGAGTAAATCTCCTTTTAGAGTCTAAAAGCTCTGACAAAATTCAGACTTGCTTGTATTTCATGATATGTAAAATTCTTACCTAAAACACTGTCCATGATCCTACAAGGATCCCATTTCTAGCATAAGAGGCAAGGAATATCTGCATCACTAAGGATAAAACCCCTGCAAAATTTCCTTCTTGCTTTCAGTTGCACTGTTCCCCCCAGATCTTGGCTCCTACACTAAAAAGCAGTGTGATATCAAACCTGGTTTTGATAGTGCCTGTGCATGTGGTTCTCATCAATGTCACACAGACCAGAGGCTGAGAGCTCTGCAATTGAATGTGATCAATTAGGAGCCTTTTTTCCCTTTATGCTTCCACTGACAATGGCACTGGCAGCACCACCCACTATTCCCATCTGGGCTGAAGGAGGGGCTGCACTGCTCTCCCTGGGTTAATAAATTGAATTCTTGCTGCTGTGGCATCGAGCTGAAGGCAAACCACCTTTCTTTACTTCTGTCTTTTGTTCAGAGACTGTCATGCTGTAAACAGAAATCTAAACAGCTACATCCAGCTCTGTGGTAGGTTTTGCCCAAGTGCTCCCATACAAATTCCTCCTTTAGCAGGTGTGCACAGGTCAGAAGTGACATTGTATTCACAGCGTTTCTCTGTGGCCATGAGTGAACACTCATATTAGAGATGTAAAGTGTAACACTCACAGTCTTTGAGTGAATACACAATGCAAAGTGGCACCATAGCATAAACAAAATTGCAAATTGGAGTTTTGACTAACTAAATGGAACACGGGGGGGGGTGTTTAGGGAAGCTGTGTAAAGAGGATTCTGCCCACAGCACCACGATTAATATTTCTGTTCCTAAAGAAAGTGCTATACGTCTCCAGGCTCTTGGCTGTGGAAAGCTTCATAGCTGCCTCCCTGCAGAAGTCAGGGTATTGGGGTGTTAGCAGTAGCAAAGAACATCTTCACCAGTTACCACTACTCCAGGTTAACAGGGTTAGGGTTAGGTTGCTCCAATATATCACTGAAGTATTAATATAAAGAAGTTTGAAACATCTGGCTGGCTATACTAGGTAGAAACAGTTATCTCCAATTTGAGTGAGAATACAGGCAACCTTGGGCAGAGAAATTTTTCTACCAGTGGCACAATTGTTCTGTGTGATTACCTCAAGTCATCAGTGTTACCTGCTGACCTTATAGGCTTTTCTGGCTCCTCCACATCCTTGGGTGCAGTCAAAAAGCAGAAGAGTTGCACAAAGGATATCCATCATGTCTTTATTTACATATCACGGAAACACACATGCAACATGTCACAGGTTTAACTACAATGGAACAGCCTGTCCCTATCTCCTGTTACCAAAAAGTTTATTTTTGGCTCACTAGGAAAACTATCACTTCCCCAGAAAGCTCCTAAAAATAATAATTAAAAATAACAGACCTGGCAGGATAGATAAATGAGTGAGAGCTACAGGCTGGGATGTCTTGCCACATCCTTGCAGAAACCAGGTGGTTCTCTGAAAGCAAGAAAGGAAGGAAGAATGGAGTGGGATTGGATGGTCCCAAAGATGACAGGTTCCAAGATGCAGTGGTAGTGTGTAGGGCCCTCTCTCACCTAGGCACACACCTGATCCATTTCCCATCTTTGATTGGCTTTTCTGGCTCCTCCACATCCTTGGGTGCAGTCAAAAAGCAGAAGAGTTGCACAAAGGATATCCATCATGTCTTTATTTACATATCACGGAAACACACATGCAACATGTCACAGGTTTAACTACAATGGAACAGCCTGTCCCTATCTCCTGTTACCAAAAAGTTTATTTTTGGCTCACTAGGAAAACTATCACTTCCCCAGAAAGCTCCTAAAAATAATAATTAAAAATAACAGACCTGGCAGGATAGATAAATGAGTGAGAGCTACAGGCTGGGATATCTTGCCACATCCTTGCAGAAACCAGGTGGTTCTCTGAAAGCAAGAAAGGAAGGAAGGATGGAGTGGGATTGGATGGTCCCAAAGATGACAGGTTCCAAGATGCAGTGGTAGTGTGTAGGGCCCTCTCTCACCTAGGCACACGCCTGATCCATTTCCCATCTGGATGCTAGAAATTTCCTCTCCTCTAGGAACTTCCAGTCCTTAAGGAGGATCTGTCTACCTTTATTCTCAAGCAATAATTAAGGGGTAAAGTTTAAGCTCATATCCCCTTGGCCCTGAAGGATCTTCCACATCTTGCCTCTCTTGAGAGAAGATGAAACTGCAGAGCCTTTTCCTGCCAGGACCATCAGAATGGGAGTCATGATCATTGCTTACTAACTAGGAGAGAGGGACTCAATTCAGTGGTGGGAATGTGCTGAAGGAAGGGATGGGGAGTGCAGTCCTGCTATGGAAAAGGCTGATGCCACTGTATTTATAATGAACATGAGTTTCAGTCTAGCTGGGACCTGGCATGTTCACAGCCTGCAGCTTCCATCATTTGCTCAGCTTTTTCCTCTAATTCCCACTGCTAGGTATAAACAGTTTCACCCCAGCTCCTGACCATACAGGCAGGAGTCCCACCCTCCTAAACATTAATGAAAGATCCCTGCTCTCCATTGGCTGTTTCAGGCTCCACACAGCGCCCCTTCCTCCGGGTCACTCTTCGGTTCCGGTGGAATTTGGCGTAACAGCGCAGCCCTATGGAAAAGATGTTGTGAAAAATGCGTATTTTATGATTGGCTTTTTGCAAATATTAAAATGAATATTATATGGGTTATGTTAGAAAGTTATACTGTGTTAATTTTCTTAAGTAGTGTGTTAAATATAATTTTAGGTTATAACATAATGTTAAAATAGAAACTATGCTATGTAAGATACTTTTTAAAGAGAGGACTCGCAGCAGATAGACGCCACAGGACACCTAAATCTTTCAGAGAAAAAGAATTTATTGCTCTTGTATTGAGTTCTTCCTGCCTCACTCAGCCCTGAAGATGCCATCAGGATTCAGAGGAAGAAGTTGACACTGACCAGACAGAATCCTTTGTTTGAATGGATTTATGCATCATGTGTGAGATGTATGGATATGCAATAGGCTGTTGCTTTTAAGGGTTAATCCTCTGTTAACGTGGGTCCTTTTTTGGGCTTATTTTGCCCAGAAAAAGGCAGGACCATCCATAACTCTTTGTTTTTATTGTCTCATATTGTCCTATATTCTAATTGTCCAAATTTTTATTACTCTAATTATATTACTATTTTTATGACCATTTTATTACTATTAAACTTTTACAATTTTAAAAACAAGTGATTGGCGTTTTTCACAATGTGTAGAAGTGATGATGGACCAGGGCTCACTCCAGCAGTAACACCAACTATTTCTCTGCCTCACATTCTGCTGCACTGGGGACAGTCCTAGTGCTGTGTCAAATAGGGTGGGAGAGAAATGCCTCACATAGACAAGGCATATTGCTCTCTGGGCACTGGTGTTCTGTTTGGCTCACTGTTCTGGTTTGGGATTCAGTCAGGGATTGTTCAGTCAGGTTTCCCAGGACTCTTGAAATACCAATGAATTATTCCAATTGTTTCCAGTGATTTTATGGAAGCCCTGCTTGGTTTCCTCCTATTACTTCCCATTACTGTCTAAGTAATCTCTCCATTGGGAAATTACTACAGACTTAATGTGCAGCAGCAATGACTAGGGACCTCCCCTTGCTATTTATTTCCCTGAAGCTTCAAGAGAGAAGGGAAGAGACTGTGAAGTGTTATTACTGGGAGGTCTGATCCAAAGCCCACTGCTCATCTCCTTTAATTTCTCTGTTTTAGATGCAAAATGTGCACAGTCTGAAGGAAGCTAGCTAATATAGCACGGGTGAGTATGAAGGGTGAAAAAAGGCATTTTATTTGTAAAAACCATGAGTACATATTCTCCCATGGCAGTGGAAGGTAACAGGAGCCTCTGGTCATGGTAACTACTTGGTTTCTGGCTCCAAGAGGTTGATTTTACAGTGTTTCTTGTCTGACTTTGTTACACCAGAATGTGTAGCTAGTTGGGCCAGACAGGATATAGCCTGTAGGTAAATAATTCTCATGAAAACCCTGCTTTTCAGTAGTGCAGGATCTTGTCATTGGGGTTGGCAGGAGCTGATTTGATCATTCTAGAAACTGCAGCTCTTTCAACTTCTAGAGCAGGCAGCAGAGGATTTATAGCTTTTGTAATAAGACAGCTTAAAACTTTCCTTGGTAGTACACTGGAGATCCAGATGATGTCACATAGCAGTCCTTTGGAATTATGTCCCTGGGCAACACTGAGACCAGCTACCTTAAAAAGCTGGGTTTGTGCCCCTCATTACCAATCACCCCAGGGCAAACCGGCCTCCTAAAAGGGGAGCATGCATGATCAGAGCTCTACTCTTATCTAAGCCTCTTGTCTATCTTACCTGGATCTTCCCTCTCTGGGGATCTTTTTTATGCTACGCAGGATGCACATTTGCTATCAACTTATAACTAGCTTAAGGATAAAGCAGGGCCTGGGGCAGCCTCATTAAGGATTGCAGAAACATGTTTCTAGGCTAATCTATCAGAAGGTCATCTCTGATTAGGACCTTGTGGTGTTACACAACATGCCCAAGGTGATGACTGTCATTTAACATTGCAGCTCCAGGACAGCTGCCCATTTAACTGGGTTAAAAGTAGGCAAACAGCCTGGTCAAATCACTGGGACCTAATGCAGGTCACAAAACTTGGCAAACAGAGTTTTGTTCTGGCAGGCAAGACTCAGTGCCTGGAGCTGATCCTGAACATGTTTAGACTAGAAGAGTGCCTTTTAACACTTTCATAATGCACCTGCCTAGTAAAGACTGCTGTGGACTCTTCAGAAATAGTTTTAAGAAACAAAAGCCTGAGTCCTTCCCACATCTACTGAATTGTTACAAGCTCAGTTGAAATTAACTTGGGAAAGTCATGTTAGGCACAAGGTCATACAAAATAGTGATTTCATAGTCTGTGATACTTGTAAGTACCACTGAAATGTTAATATATTGTGGCTGCTTCTGTTAGGTTGGTAGACATCAGGATCTTTGTTTTCAAGAGAGAAAACAAGTTATCCTAGAAGAATTAATATTCACACTGTGAGTCAGTGGCAGAGAGAAGCTAAGAGCAGGAAAGCTTGGCTCCTGCTTTCAGATACAAACCACTATTCCAAGTCAGCACTACAGAGTTGGGGAGTGTCTTGGGAATGGTTTATGTCCCCTAACCATGTTTGCTTTTGCTTTTGTTTTATGTCCAGCATGGTCACTGCCTCCCCAGCTCCAGGAGTATCATGATGGGTGAGAGGCAGCCTGGGATCCTGCGAGGGTTGATCCTTCCAGTGGGGGTGACTGGCTCAGCAGCCACACGGTACGGTGGGTCTGACCTGAGATTCTGTTGCCCTGTGGTTTTTTCCTTTCTCTTTTTTTCCCTCTTCCTTTTTTTTTTTTTCTCTTTGGCATTGTGACTAGGGCTTGCCAGCTTGCTCCTCTGCCACTTAGGAGCCCAGAGCCGGTGTGTGCTATGCCAGGACCCCGCCCGGGTGCTCCTCACCAGTGATCTGTGCCAAGTACCTTTCCCCCGTCCAGCCCCTGCAGTTTCTTGCTACTGCTTTGGGCATTTTGCCACACTTTATCCCAACACCTAGCATCCACCAAGACTGCTGCTTTGGGCATTTTGCCACACTTTATCCCAACACCTAGCATCCACCAAGACTGCAGCTTTGGGCCATAATTGACACTTTATCCCAACACCTAGCATCCACCAAGACTGCTGCTTTGGGCATTTTGCCACACTTTATCCCAACACCCAGCGTCCACCAAGACTGCAGCTTTGGGCATTTTGCCACACTTTAGCCCTACACCCAGCATCCACCAAGACTGCTGCTTTGGGCATTTTGCCACACTTTATCCCAACACCCAGCGTCCACCAAGACTGCTGCTTTGGGCATTTTGCCACACTTTAGCCCTACACCCAGCATCCACCAAGACCCCACACTGCTTCTGCCACTGCTTGCGGCTTAGTCTACAATTCGATGTGCCACCCCAGGGGATCTGCTTGCCCCTGCTGTTCCAGCCTGCAGCTCCGAGGTTCCTGCTGCAGTCCATTTTGCCGTGCAGAGGGGCACCGGGCCCAGCTGCCCCCTATATATCTATCTATATAGATAGATATATATATCTAGACACAGATATAGATATATAAAGATATATATAAAGACACAGATATAACTATATATATAGATAGATATATCTATATACATATATAGATATAAAGATATATATATATATCTATATATATAGATAGTAAAGAACTGTTATTCCTTTCCTCATATCTTTGCCTGAAAGCCCCATAATTGCAAAGCTATACTAATTTGGAGGGAAGGGGTTCGTATTTTTCATTCCAAGGGAGGTTCCTGCCTTCCTTGGCAGACATCTGTCTTTTAAACCAAGACAGGGAGCGAAGAGCTGGACTCACCTTCAGTGCACATACAGTCATCATAACACTTGTTGTTAAGGCCTCGATTGTGTGGTTTGCAGAGGTGTTCACGTAAGTCACAGCAAGAGCCTGCAACACAGGACCAGGGTCAGCACAGCTCAGGTATCCACTTACCTGCAGGGCTGCTGACACTCATGACAGCTCCATCATACAGACATCATCTGGCCCCACAACACGCCTAGAGAACCTCTGCCCTTCCCTTGCATACCACTTCCTGTCACTAGTAGAAATTGAAATGCATGTCTTAAAACCAGGGCTAGATTTCAAACATCCCTTGTTTGGAGAAATGACTCTGCCAAGCTGATCCTGACCTGGGAGGCAGTCAAGGTGGTGATCACATGGCTCTCCTTCAGCTGTTGTGGTTTCATTTACACTGTTGGGGCTCTTACTGCGGCGTTTTTCTATGGAAAAAAAAAAGATGCTGATAGAAAATTTCACACTAGTATTTTCATTTTGGAGAGTATATTTTTCTAGGGTAAAAACAGCCTCAAATTTCAAGAGTTTGAACTCTAAACCTTCATAATTTAATCTCCTCCCTATTTCTCCACTCTCCATTTATCATTTTTACTCTGCCCTCCAAATTTGCATCCAAAATGAGATACATCCTGAAACTGAGCACAAAACTCAATCAGCATTATGCTGCTTCTCTCTTCTCTCACCACTATGATCTCATGTCCTTCAGCACATCTATGAATACTAACCATAGACAAGCCTTACTGGATGACTTTTGGGAAAGAGGACAGGGAGGTTTAGCACCTTTCTTTTTAGCAGATGGCCACATTTCTGGTTTGAGGTCCTCATAATCGGTCCAGTCAAAGAGTGCCATATCCAAGGTGGGCATCACATCCCCATCTTGCCTGAGGCGGGCCTGCAAACCACAAAAAAACCAGGCAGACAACAGATTACACGTCTGTAGAGACACTGAAGTCTTTGCAAATTTTCATGGTGCTTTTACATTAAAAAAGGCTTTATGATTGCCCCTCCCCTCCTCCACTCCTGTCTTATCCACTGGGGATTCCTGGCATCTCATTTTCAAAAGCAAAGAACCTTCCCTTGTTGAGGCTGAAGCCAAGAAGGAAGTTTCTACTGCTTCTGTGTGAGAACAAAAGGTAAGCAATGAGTGTTAGGACATGCTGGCTCTTCAGTCAAGTGCTCCTACTGTCTCTCTGGTCCTTGAAACTCAGTGAAGTTGGATAGCTGAGGGAGAGGCAAGGCTTGGAGGTACAGAAGAGTTCCCAGCTGTCTCTTTACCTGTGACCTTGGTGAAGTGGCTGGAAGAACAGGAGGCTCTTCTGTGGAAACAGCTGTGTCCAGTGCAGCAATGAGGAGCATGGTGGGAGTCAGACTTGTAGCTTCTTCTGCCTGAAGATTTTGAAACTGTTCTTCAGAGCTTTTGGGTTTCTTGTACAGGGAGCTTGGCCCAGCATCAGGAGCCTTCCCTGCAGAGGGCAACAGGTACAGTGGCATTACCTTTCTCATCCCTTTTCTCCGTGTGACAGATTGGAGTCAAAGGAATTCATGTTTCATCCAGCTGCCAACCACTGTTCCATGATCCTGAGCTGCTGTTTTAGACCACTGTATAACAGAGTAATGAGCTATTACAGTGATAAATCAGGTCCAGAGTATATGCAGCTTGATTTTTGCACGCTTAAGACATACAAAATCACACCTCCCTGAAGATATGTCTATCTCTTGTTTAAGAAGCAAAACATGGTTTTTTTCTGGTCTCAAAAGTACAAAAATGTACCTGTTTAACCACTTTTAAACCAACGGATTAAACGATTGCAAATACCTGTGAATACATTCTTATTTGATTTTAGTAGTGAGTTATTTCAATTTAGCTCAAGTCAGGACTTACCTAACTTGAAATTATCTTCACAGATATGTCCCTCTTCTTCATAAGTACTAATTTAAATATAGACCTTAAGTTAACCTCAAAAAATAAGCCCTGTTTGTAGGCTGCAAATATTGCTTCAAACAAGCTTTGTTGCATACTCTTTTATATTGCTAACACAAACTGTTTAGTCAGTCCTCTGAAAAAACAATAGAGCTCTTCTTACTGAGGCAGGGAGGAGTGAAGGATGGAACTCAAGGACGTGACACCCAGCTTGTCACATAGTGTAGATTGACACAAATTCCCTCACTTTAACAGAACTCAAGGTTTACCACACTGAGCTCATACCACAGAAACATACACCCACAACTTGACCTGCAAAGGAAAGCAGTCCCAGTCAAAATCAATCAACATTTTAAAGTTATCACTGCAATTTCACATATGCAAAATTTGCATTTTGTTGTTGTTCAGCATAAATATAGAAGAGTACAAGCTCTGGTGAGAAGAAACTGGTCTTCAAAGCAAAATAAGGGGGTTGTTTTTTTTCTAATTCACATCATTTTTTGAAGTCAGTGGAGAGATTGAGCATGGCTCGGACATACTTGTTCCTAAATTGGGCCATTTGCTAAAAAGGAAAATAAAAACAACAAAACAGACCACCCTGAAACAGCCCCTCAAGTCTTAGGGTCTCTCAGAGCTCCCCCTGTAAGACAAACGAGGCCATTTTCACAAAATTGCAGCCACCACTAAAATCCTGCTTCTGCAGTTCCCCTTTTTTCTTGTGCCTCTTTTGTTTGGCAGATTTCTCCCCAGAGCAGGCACACACTCCACACCCTCCACACACCCATGTGGCTCCACCACAGCTGCATCTTCTTGCCCTCACACAAGAGATGCTCATTTCCAGTGACACAACAGCCCCAGCTTCCCTCAGAGCTCAAATACCTTGGTGATGTTTGAGCCTGTCCCTGCGGCTGTGTCGACGATGTTCTCGGTTCTGCTTCTTTCCTTTCTCAGAGCCTGGGGACTGGTTTTCCCTCTCAGGATATGACAATTCAAACCCCAGGAACACGTCCTTATTCTGTTTCAGGGCTGCTGGCTGTCCCTCTGCCACCAGCTCTTCCACAGCTGAAGCTCCACTGCCCATCTTGAGGGTCTCTTCCCCAGCCAGCTGCCCTCTTGAAGCCATGGTATGGACCCTCTCCTTCTTGGCCAAGCCTTGCCTGTGATGGCGCCCAGTTCTGGGCTGCTGCAGCCACATCTCTTCATTTTGAAGGTGGTGGTTGTTCTCTGGGGCATTTTTGAGCTTTGTGCCAGGCTTCAGGGAGATTGCAAGACTGATGTCTGAAAGAACCAGCACACACAGGAAAAGGAAAGAAGAGAAGGTGGAAGAAGTTTCCATAATCATGGGTGCTCTGTCTCACCTGCAATTAAAAAAGGGGGGAAAAAAAGCAACCAACACTTAGGAACTGTAAAGGCCATCAAGATTCAGTCCTAGGATATTTAGATAAAAACCATTATGGTGTCCTGAGGTGGAAGCAAGTTATTCCCTCTTCTTATCTTATCTCCTCTTTTCCCAGCCCTGGTTACAGCAGCTGAGACACATGTGCAGGGCCTGCAGGGCTGAGAGGTCCCAGTTTCATGTGCAAATGAGGTCATCAATCAGTAGGACACTTCCCTTTGATTCCCCACTACCCCCCCTACCCTCCTATTCACAGCCCACCATCTGAGGGGCTGGGGGGGCTGGCTCCTGCCCACAGCTCTTAAGCCTGGCACAATACCAGCTGCCAGGCTGGCATCCTGGGCTAGGGGCACTGGCCCCTCCTCACAGCTGGTTTTCTTGCAATGAAGATGTCAAAATGAACAGAACTGGAGGCAGATGGTGGCCACACAGGACCAGTAACAGCCCTGAGCAGCTCAGGACAGAGACTTCCACAGGTGCTTGCATACTGCTTCAGGGTGGTGGAAATTGGTCAAAGAAAGAAAAAAACACTGGAGATTTTGTGCTGGTAGCCCATGGCATAGCAGGGAAATAAAAAGGCTGTCAGCAGAGCAGGGGATGCTGGTCTAAAGGACCAAGGGGCAGAGGCAGACTGAGGTTTCCTTAGCTTGTCCCACTTTACCTCCTTGATCCTGCACAGGTCACCAGGCAAGGCTGTCACTGGGAGGGTAATTTATGTCCCAAGAACATCAAAACTAAGTTTCATTGAGTCCACCAGCACAGGGGCTGCAGACTGTTCTCATTCATTCTGCTTCACTGTCATATTTTTGAGGGTCTTCTTTCATCCTTTTGTTTGTGTTACAAGACATGGCTTTGGGATGTTGTAGCTTTGCACTCTGTACAAGTCAGAGCATTCTCTAATTAAGTTATTCAGTCATTCTCCCCTGTCCTTTCCGACAAAATGGGGGAAGGAATTTGCAGCATTTCTAGCACAGCTTTTCCAGACTGTCCCACTCTCTCTGGGCAGCATGAAGACATGCTTAAAAACAGAGTTCCCTGGGATACTGACTGCCAAAAAACCAGGCCTGCGCTCACCTTTGAGAAACACTGTCACAGAGTTACAGCCACAGCTTTTCACTCAACCTCATCTCAGTCTTTTCTGCACCTCAGCACTTGGCTGCACCTGATTTCCATCTGTTCAGCAGAACCACTTTGCTGCTTAACCACAAGGGCTCATACTCCCTCCTCCAGGTGATTTTCTGCTTGTCCAATGTGTTGATTTGGCACAGCCTGGTTTTTGGTAGTGGGGAGGGCCACTGGGACAGCTTCTGTGAGAAGCTGCTAGAAGCTTCCACCATGTCCGACAGCCAATCTCTGATGGCTCTGAAGATGGACATGCTGCTGGCCCAATTAGAGAGGCTGGTAACACCTCGGTGATGACATATTTAAGAAGAAAATCAAAACAGCACGAGCACAGTTTTTCCAGGGGTGGTGAGGCACTGCGGCCATCTCGGCATGCCCCTGGTGAGCCGTGCCCGCCTGGCTGCCGCTAGCTGGCCGTGCCTCAGGCAGAAGGGCAGGGGCAGCTGCAGTGGCTTCTCCTTCCCAGGCCCTACATGGAGAGAGGCGTCAAACAGCGGCAGCGCCGCAGGGCCGCCACTGCCCCGCGATGGCAGCGGGGCCGCCTGGCCGGCAGCGGAGACACGGCGAGAGAGAGACTCCATAGTGTGGAAACCAGATGAGATCAGCTTCTCGGCACTGCGAAACCCTGCAAGAATTTCTGAATTGGTGGAACTTGTTGGCAATGAGCAGCAGTTTTCTTCTAGTCGGAGAAGAGGAGGAAATGACATGTGAGGGAAAACAACATGGCGGCACCAAGGACAGTGGAAAAAAAGGAAGGGAAGGAGGTGCTCCAAGTGTCAGAGCAGAGATTCCTCTCAAGCTGTGGTGAGGATGCGGTAAAACAAACTGTCCCCTTGTAATGCATGAGGTCCACGGGGCATGCAGAGATCCACTCACAGCCTGTGGGAAAAGTGCTCACGGTGGAGTGGGTGGATGGCAGAGAAAGCTGTGATCCAGCAGGACCCGAACAGAGAGTGGGCCCTGCTCCCAGAGACAGAGAGAGTGGGCTCCTGCTTCCAGAGACAGAGAGAGAGCGCTCCTGCTTCCAGGGACAGAGAGCCCCTGCTTCCAGAGACACAGAGAGAGGGCCCTGCTTCGAGAGACGGCTCAGTGACCCACACCACAACAGTTTTGGGATGACTGTTGCCTGTGGGAGGGGACCCACGGCAGAGGAGAGGAGACTCCTCTCCCTGAGCGAACAGAAGAAGACCTGGAGTGACAAACTGACCAAAACCCCCATGCCCTGTCTCCCTGTGCTGTTGGTGGGAAAGAGTGAAGGGCTGTGGAGGGGAAAAGGTGTTTTAAAGACTTCTTTTACTTTTCGTTATCCTCCTCTGACTCTGTTAATAATACATTTACCTTATACCTTTAAATTTGAACTGTTTTGCCCTTAGAGTATTTTCCTCACAGTCCTTATCTCAATCTCAATTAAATTTGTTAACTTTTTTTCTCTCTCCTCTGCCCAACTATAGCATAAGAGGGTGAGCAAACAACTTTGTGGGTGTCTGGCATTTGGCCAGTATCAAACCATGACACCAGCCATTGCAGCCTGTGAAGGGTAGCAGGTAACAGCCTTTCAGGCCAATTCTGACTCCAGTTTTTGTGGAGTTGACAGAAGATGCACTAGGAGCAGCTTGGGCTCTTCCTTTCCCCTTTTCTTTCAGCCTGAGAGACAGATATGGAGAATTTTGAGTCAGTGGAAATTTTGCCATCACAGCAGCCCAGCATTCTGGAGTTAAGAGAGAGATGCCTTCATCCTGTTAATTGAAAAATCCCTGCTCATGCACTCACCAGCCAATCCTGCCTTTCCAAGATTCCTCTCTGTTGCTGTTCATAGCCTGGGAACATGTTTTCTGTGCAGCCATTCCCTGGAAAGAGGTACGCAGCACAGCGGCCTTCTTTTCATGCAGTTTTCAAAAAGCTGGTCTTTCTACTGGCCATAAAAGACAATAAACTGTTCCTTGAGGACTGATTTAGGAGGCACTGGGAAGCTCACTTGCGAAGGCATAACACTAGAAATACTATTTTATTGGCAGCTACCTGGAACAAAGGGAAACCAGACTGACAGCTAAATCTATTAAAAAAAAATTAATATAGTCTTCTTCTTCCAAACTACTAGAACAAATAGCAACACACAGCTCTGCATGGGGTCATTTGCTTTTTTGCCAGACTATGGGGTCTTTGCTTTTTTTCCTAGGATTTTCCCCTTAAGAACCAGAGCAAACCAGCTGGATTAAGACATCACTCAGAACAACTCAAAAGAGCTATAAAGAGCATCTTACCTTTTCATCTGTAGGCAAAATACCAAGAGGAGAGAACAAGTGCAAAGAGAATGCAAGGGTGTCTCCAATCTCACTCTCACAGACGTGTCCCTTTGATGGTGAATCTGACAGACACATTCTGATTTTCAGTGGGAGCTGGGAGGCAGCTAAATGCTGCAGGGCAGTTAAACAGAAGGTCTGCTTCAAAGCATAGGGGGTGTTTATTTAAGCTGCCCAGCTGTCTTGTTGGCATGAAGCAGGATGAAAATGCAGGTAGGAGCACAGATTGCCTCAATTCCGCACTGGCAGGTTAACGTGCTGCGTTACTGTCACTGGGAATCTTGCATTAATGATGTAGATTACCTGCATTACCTGACAACCTGTGCTACACTGTTATCAGGGGAGATCTGAGCTGTTTGCTAAGCCAAACCAGTGCACGGACAAGTTTTGGGTTAATGCAACATTGCTGTTCTAGAGGCAAAGCAGCCCCAGCCTTCTCCTAACCACTTGTTTCCATGTCCTGATCTATCTTTAATTCCAGAAACCTCTTAATACCTCATTTATTCTTCTTACCCTATAGAATTCACACTTAAAAGGACAGCTAGATAACACAACAGCATCCCTAGTGCTCAGTGCTCAGGCTCCTCAATGGCTGAGCACCAAAATAAACTTCACCCTCTTTTCTAGCAAGACCACAGTCCACAAAAGAATCTCTTGCTAGCCTTGGGCTCATTGATGTAGGTGACAGCAAGGTTCTCACCCTGCTGATGCAGCCTGCAAAGGATGAAATTCTGCCTGAGACACACACCAGGCAGAAAGAAGTCTGGCCTTGTGAGAGTTGCCTTTCCTCAATTGCTATAAACAAACACACATGTTACAACAAAGCCCAGAATTCATCATCTTCTTAGGGTTCATATATAAGTAAGGGAAATAGATGGAGTATTTGCCAAGTTAAGCTGCCCCTGTAGCTCTTCACAACACCAGACCTACATCCTTATTGCTCCACCCCTCTTCCTACACTGCCTTGCAGACCCTCAGGAGTACAAGCCACCTGAGGTAGCAAATCTGCCTCTCACATGAACATATGCACAGCAAAGAGCTGCCCAGAGCATAGACTCAGGGCTGGGAAGTGAGTTGCAGTGCTGTTTTCCAGCCACAATTTCTGATCCATTTTGGGTTAGTAGTGGATGGTAACAATCCCATAAGTGAAATTGAGGGGGGGTGGGGGGTTGCATCTTGGATAACTTTCCCTGTGGGAAGTCTTCTCTGGAGTCACTAATATAATTGCTATTTTTCTGCTCTCATAATCCTGTGAGGCAGCCATGCACTGAGCAGGTACATGGAAATTCTCTCATGTTTTTCTGCTGTAAATACAGTTGTGTCACCTTGGCTCCGAAATAGACTCTGAAAATGTTCCTGGTGTATTTGGTTTGTATTTGACAAAACAGGAACATTCATTCACGTATCTCACTTAAAACATGATATCTGACAGTCCTAGCTTTAACTTTTCACATATCATGTCACAGCCAAGAGAAACAAAACCCTTGAACTAAGAGACTGTCAAGATCTTTGATGCATTTAGTA